GGAATACACTCTAGTATATGAAAATTGCTTGCTGCTTTGTTGCCACTGTTTCATGACATTTTAGTTAATTACACTGTACCATAATGACTTACTGCTGTCTGAGCAAAGACTCAAAAAGATGGAATTGGAGGTGTTTTGGGAAGCTATACCTACTCTACATCTCCTTCTGTTTCCCAAGAATAAACAGTTTATCAGATGTTTCACACATCTTGATCAGACAGACAAATCTCTGCAGTTTTAGGAAAGCTGCTTTCATGTTAAATCATGTCAGTGGGTTATTCAGCCAGAGTGAACTGCTCAACTAGTAGTTTCAGGAAATTTTGTTCACTCTGGTGTAGTTTTACTAGGAAGTAGGATGCTATTTAATGTTTTCCTAGTTTGATGCATTTTCCTAGTAGTCCTTTTTTAATGAGGCTTGGAGACTACAGTGGTTAAGGTCATATAAAATAGTGACATTTCTGTTGGGAGAATTGCCACTCTTCTGTTAGAAGCTAAGAACATACAAGCATTCATTGAATGTTTCCCAAAGAAGACATTTGGAAGTTCTTCTCTGCAAGAGAGATTCTCTTGCAAGAATGAATGCCCGTATGATGCTCCATTCACTGCCCTCTGGGTCTGGTCCAGGAGGGGAGTGGAACAGCTGCCAGCTGCTTACTGCCTCCTTCCCAGACTGGGGAGTGCCAGTTGGGTAGTGTGGGAATCAGTTTCCAAGTCATCAGGAACAGGAACCAGGGTTGGGGGAGGCTCTCCCAGCACCATCTGGACTGTACACTGGATGATTTAAAAGCTGTGGGATGTGGCGGGGAGCTGCCTATTGATGGCCTGCCTCCTTCCCAAGCAGGAGAAAGGACAGGCTCTCAATTATTGGGCTCCCAAGAGGTGGGGGTGGCCCAAGGCACAGGTCTCTAGTGACTCCTGGCTGGAGAGCTTACCTATGTAGCTCTCCAGTCAGGGTGCTGGAATGCATGTACTCTCAGGCTATTTTTCTAAGAATTTCTCTGAAATCCCTATTGCTAGATATGAATGCCTATTTGGGCACATCTACATGATCATTAATGCTCCTTAATTACTGTGCATTTAGTTTAGTACTTGTTTAATGAAGTATGGTACTGTATGTTCCTAGCTCCTAACAGAAGAATGGCAATTCTCCCAACAGAAATTTAACTGCTATATGTGACCTTAACCACTGTAGTCTCCAAGCCTCATTAAAAGAGGACTACTAGGAAGTAGGATGCTATTTAATGTCTTCCTAGTCCGATGGTTGTATGGTTATTTTATGATGCTTACTGCGTATTAGCCTAATAACATTGTGCAGTAGGCTCTTAGCATGGTTTTTAACCACCACGCTATTGTGCAGTGTTATTGGGGTAATGCGCAGTAAACGTCCAGTGTAGACATGCCCTCTATAGTTTAAGTCAGGTTATCAAGTAGAACGTTTTCTGTAGGCACTTTTAAAGTAGGGATCAGAGAGCTCTGGCTGTTCAGTTTTGTGTTAACATTAGAAAACTAAATAATCAAATGGTACCGCTTTTCCCATTAAATTAAGAACAAAAGGTTATGCTCAGTTTCATGATGTACAAGCTTTTCATCTTGATGGGGTGGTCTTAATCCTGCCAGTTGCTCTACCTGGTACGTGTATTCTCTGACATACATTTGTCAAATGTAATCCAAGTGTCAGTGGGATGTAAATGTTGTCATCTTCACACACCTGATTTTTAGTTAATGATTGGAACCCAAAGTGTTTTCCTCTTAATTTCTATTTGTCAAAGCCTATAGTTAACATCACAGATGTAGGAGTGGTATATAGAACTTGTCTATGAATTCAGTCTTGTTATGGTGGGCGATGTATATAATAGTAACTAAGTAATGAAGAGCCTGTTTAAGCAATTGATGAAGATGACACTTGAGAAACAGAAACTTCTGTTTATATTTCTGTTAGTTCACATAGACGATTCAAGAAGGCTCTTAAATATATACAAGTCTAAAGAATCCTGGAGCATGTAAGTGTATTCAAACAAAACTGTTTGAACTTACATACATGGTACAGATTCTCATGCCAAAATCTTTTGAATTTCTGTCCATGTTCAGGCTTTGTCTGCTCTTTAGTTTAATCATTCATGGTTTAGTCTGATCTCTGCTGCATGTCTTCTCATTCTTTTTTGTGAGTTACTGGCCTCTTCAGGCAGAAGAGCTGCTACTCCTTTTCTTGCACAACTGAGTAGGCAAGCATGAGGAGTGAATAGAGACGACACCAAGCCGTGCCCTCCCTCTCATCCTGCCGTGTGCTATCTAGTACATCTTGAGCCACTTGGAAGACGGAATCATCTGGGCTGGGAGAAGGGCTGGTTCAGCTTATATCCTTCTGGAGGAACAGAAAATCAGGATTGTTGTTATTTTATCACAGTTTCAGACAGAGTTCGGCTTCCTGAGCTAGTACGACTAGCCATTGTCACCCTCTTAAATTAGAATAGAAAAGGACATTAAAGTTATGTATCACTTGACCAGATTCATGCTAATACTGAAAAAAAGGAACTAAGTTTTTACACAAGGATATTGCAGAATAAAAACTGACCATTGATGCTGGGAAACACTTATATGATGAATATGCCAGTGAGTGTAAACATTCAACAAAAAGTTTGTGGATATTTCACAGACAAAGAAGAGTCCAATTGTAAAAACATCTGAGGGTCTCATAGACTGGCTTTCATTGTAATTGGTCACACAAATTTTTGCTCCATTTCTTCTGAGAAATCTCATCCATTAAGATGAATTTAGTCATCCCATAAGGAGGTAATTAAGATATAAAGCCTACTCCAGTTAAATAAAAGATTCTACCTAAGTGACATGGGAAGCTTTCTGGTCTAGTCATCTTAGAATCTAAGACTGATCTGACCCATTCCTTTAAACTTCACCCTGTCGCTGTCTAAAATAGATTTGGTGTGCTTCAATTTGTATACAGAAAGGTAACTTTTTTTAAAACAGGTAAAACTGAATTTTAAGTGATCTTTCTTATATATGATATACTAAGCTATGCATTTATGAAACTATTACATAAGAAGCTGCTGCACATTGTACAGTACAACCGATTTTTACTTCCAACTTTTATTCAGCTCATAAATATAGACCTTGTCTATAAAGGAAATCTATATCTTCCTAAATGTGTAGCAGTGAATGGTGACTAGTTAAGTGCTAAATTACTGGTAACTTTTACAGATTAGATTTGAGAACACTTGAAACAAATATAGTTTAGTTTCTCTTAGGGGTCGCATATTGTTGAGGATTCTTTTGTTAGAAATTATTGGTCCAGATCCTCAGCAGAGGGAAATTATCATGTTCCCAGTTCTACAAATAGTCCAGGCTTCCTAATACTGCACAATATGTATCTGAGTGGCAACTGAGAGAAAGCATGGTATGGTATGTTAGGAATTAACCTCAGACTGAGGAGACCTGATCCTCTTCCTGTTTCTGCAATTTCTGTGTTTTAGCACTTTGTAGATCCTTGATAGGTGAAATGTTTGAAGAACTCCAGACACCTTTAAAGCCCTCCAAACAGTGAGCATGCAGACATGCACAGCAGAAGTACTTTAAAAATAGCCGAAGTGCTTCAAAATGGTCCTCAAAAATCAAACAGCATGTTTGAAGCACTTCCTTTTGATGAGCTTCCTGAAATATCTACACACTCCACACTGTGTGACATGAGGTTTCTTGGTCCTCTGGCATCCCACAATGCTCTGTCCCTACTACCCCCCCCACACACAACAGAGTGAGTGTGTGTGTGCATGTGTGCAAGGCAAAGAGACAGACAGTGAGCACTGTCTTGTGCTCTTGGCTGTGCTTGGGAGTCTCTGGAGGTTCAGAGTCATTCAAGAAATCCTGCTTGCTGCTGACCAAGAATCTGTGTGCGCCTCTCGGCCTCTGGTCTCCCGAGGCTCTGGTCTCTTCAGAAGAGCTTCAAATGCATGCCTGTCCATGGCCTTACTTCACCATCTGTGCTTTTTCCTTCCCCTCTCTGCTTGGGCACATCCACACATGCAAACATGTGCACTTGCAGGAGCTCAAATAGAAGTGGTGCAAATTTGCGCCAGGGCTTTTTGCCCCAGCACACGTGCCACTTGGGGTAAAATAACCCTGCTTGGCTTCTCCCAGAACTGCAATGCAGCAGGCAGCCTGCTTCAGCACTGAGGCGAGGACTGAGCCTCTGGTTGCCTGCCTTGCTTTATTTCCCCGAGGGCATTGTTTGACACCTGGATATCCAGGGGTCTAATTTTGTCCCTGCGGTACAAATTTGCAGTGCAGGGAACGTTTTTTGTTGCCACAACTGCATCTTGCAGCATCTTAAAAGGGTTTGAGATTCTGCAAGAGGCACGTATGTGCTCATTTGGACGTGCCCCTTTTGTCCATCTACTAGATTAGGTAGCTCCTCCAGGTAGAAATTGCCTTCTACTCTACATCCCTAGAATGCCTGCTACCATAAGGACCTGGTTTTAGTTAAGCCCTTTAGGCACTGTCATAATAGAGATGATTAGTAAAATAATGGAAATAAATGAAGGCTATTTGCCTCTTGTGACCCTTAGTGTCTGAAAATGAAGAATAATTGCTAAAGAAAACTTCTCAAGCACATGCTTTGGAATTTAATTCTTGCTTCGTTAATATCTAAAAAGGAGGGGATTTGGGGAATGTTGCTTTATTTAAGCTATCCTTACTTCTGCTGTAATTTTTAACTTGTGACAAATATAGACTAAAAAGGGGTAGTGTCAGATTCTGGCACCCCAAAGTGTACCTACTGGATGAGTAAATCCACATGAAAACATATAGACATGGGATTTCTTAGAGTAAGACTGACCAGACCTGGGCTTTAGATAGTGTGAAACTGTTACAGAAATTGAAGTCTGATCAGTCTTTTATTTTCTTTCTTGATTGTATTGTTAATGTCTTCCCAATACTGCATATTTAAAATGAACTCCGAGTGCCCTTTTTTTAACTCCATTTTGTCTTTGCAGTTTGTCGGGAAGATTCATGCCAGTCCATAGTTTCCTGTGCTGCTGTAGTGCTTGCTCCTGTAGAGTCACCTGTGGAAGCAAAGAAAAAGGAACAACCAAGAATGCTTGATGTTGCCAAACAGTGAGTTCCTGGTTAAAATCATATTAATTTTTCAGCACAATTTGAACAGCAAGACTACATCTGCCATCTGGGCATGTGCAACACCTTTTTATTTCACCAGGATTTGGGGATATGTGCTCAAGGGCAGAAATTAAGTTGGGGCTAATCATGTTTCATTTATTTAACAGTAAGAGCCTTTCTGGGGGTTCTTGTTAGGAGGTAGTTCTTCAGTATACTATAGGTAATAGGCATTTACAATCCAGAAAACAGAGTGGAAAGAGGTTTAATAAAGTTACTTATTTTCTTTGATAATAACCTTTGATACTATCAGTTGTTGAATTTTATAAAGAATATTCCTAAATACTTACCTCTTCTTTTATTTCAGTATTTTTCAGTGACTGTTTTGTTATTTTGATAAAGGGTAGGGTGACAGTTTCAGGAGTGTAATGGTGGACATTCAAGTAAATCTTATTAAATTAGATAGTGTGGTTTGATACTATGCACCACTGCTTTGGATGAGAATCATAACCACAGCATGCACACAGCAGCTTTTATCTTGAGATACCAGGCAGGATGGTTGTTCCTTAACTATTGGGTGCTTGGAGAATGAAAGGTATTTTTTCAAGTAACATACTTTTCTTGGTGATTACATGGAGTCAAACTTATAGGCTTTATATTTTTAAAGTACAAAAGACAATTAGAATTCTTATTGGCAAGTATGTATTTGATATTTATTTTTGCTCAGCTTCCAGTAAATCAAAATAATCTGACTTTTAAAAACAGGACTTGTATATTTCTAGATCTCAGTTTGAACACCTACAAGACTTGGAGGGCTAGGCCCTGAGCCTCAATATCAAAAAAAGTTTGGATCAAACTTATAACCATCTGGGTTCTTTTTCTTTCATTGTAACGTGTAATAAAACTGAATTGCAACAGTTCCTGCAACTTGTAATAAAACTGCAACTGCAAGCTGAAGTCTCTTTCTCCATCCTTCCCACCCTTTGCTTGATTTAGAACTGTATCAAGATCTGAATTCTATGATTTATCTAATTGTAACTTCATATTGCACATTAGTGGTAAACTGCTACTGTGCATCTCCCTACGATTAAATGATTAGTGGTACCAGGTACAACTAATCCGATCGCTTAGGTATCAATACTTCGGCTCATTTTATTACAGTGGAACATTTTCATAGATGCAGTGTGTGTAGTGGGCATTTTAGTGGTATAATTCTACTTCTGAATGTAAAGTATTTGTGAAAAGTTTTAGGATTTTTATGTTGGACTGGGTTCCAGAGGATTCAGTGGGGTTAGCTCAAACACCATAATAAATTTGCATTTACTCTCCATTAAAAGGTGTACCTTCAGTGTTGTTTGTTTAGCCTTCTTTTCTATTAATTTGGTCGCCAGTTTCACCGTGTAATCTCTCATAGATTCAATCTAATGAAATTTCTGTATGTTCAGCATGGGCCTGAGGTGAATGATGCTTTCTGGCTGACTTTTCCCTCCACCTAATTGATATTAGCAAGGGTATATTTTTTCCCACTTTAAAAATCGCACTGACAGTTTCTTCAAATACATTTTTGCAATCACATAAATCTTACTGTGGTCTCATGCACAGAGAGGTCTTGGTAACAAGCTCTGACCTCTGATACTGCACAGATTTGCATGTCTCCAGATATACCTGGCAGGTTCTTGGAATTCTAATAAAAAAAAAAAATCAGACTTTACCCCTTATGCTGCCACAGCTGACACTTTTGAATGTATTCATAAGAAGCAGTAGCATGGACTAGCATTTTATCATTACAATTAAAGTAATACATTTTCCAAACCTTTCAGTTCTGGATAAGAAACACATATCCAGAACTTCATAGCACATCAGAATTTCACTATGTTGTGGAAGGGTAAAGACTGTCTAATATTATAAAAGCCTTAGTCTGTCTGTCCATAACGCTTTATTTGCACTCTGATTGATTGTCTGAAACAACAAATCAGAGTGCTTCAAGTGTGTTCTGGACAGGAGACGGCGGCGGTGCAGCAGAGCACTGCCATGACAGCAGGGACAGAGCAGGGGGGGTGGGGGTGAGGCCCGCACCCCTGGCCTCACATCCTACCCCTCTCCACCCATGATCCCTGCAAGCAGCCCAGGGTGCTGGCTGAGGGGGACGGAGGGGACAGCAGGACAAGGTTCCCCCTCCCCCTGCTCCTGGGAGACGTTGGCGGTGTGGGGTGGTGGGTGGTGGCGCTCCATTCCCCACCCTCCCCCGTCATTTCTGCTTAGCAGTTGGCTAGTATTTCAACAGTCTTTCATCAGCACCACTATCAGTGCCCAATTCACTTCTTTCTCCTACTCTAAGGTCCATGTATTTGTCCACCTTGCCTTGTATGTGTGGAATTCTGTTCAGATCTCAGTTAAGGCACACTTATCAATCAACATCTCTTTTAAACTTTGCTTTTCCTCTGACGACACAAATGGAGAATTTAAAATTGTTAGTGGCCTATAAAAAAGGAGCTTTGTTGTGAAGACTAAGATGTGGACATGCTTGATAGGAAAGTGTGGCACATACTTGTACAAGCAGGATGGGAAGAGTAAGTGTGTGTGTATAAACTAGGAGGATAGGAAGTAGTTAATATGTGTGTGTAAATATGTATGTATAGTATGACAGATATCTTTATATATGGTGGGGGAGAGAGTATTAAGTGTAATAAGTCATAAATAAGCAGTTCTTCCTATCCATGTGAAGTTTACCCAGACATTGTATATAGACTCTTGAAGACATAAAAATTATGCAAGATAGAAAGTAAAATAGAATAGGTCTTTAAGGTAAAGTACATGATATTTGGTTAACAAGAATATTTTGTCTTAGAAACCAAGTACTTACGTGTTTAAATTATGTATTTTATTTGTTTAATTTAATTTAATGTAAGCAGAAAACGATCATGGTAAAAACAATGCTCAGTTTTTTAAAGAGTTGATAATTAAACATACTCTAGGACTGGGGATGAAAAAGCCAATTATTTTGCTTTCTCTGTTATGTTTTGGAGGATTGTTTACATATTTAATCAAAATACTGTTTGTTAAGCATATTTGGAAAATGATTAAATCATATATTATGTACACTGGGCAAAATCACTCACTGGATGTGGAGTTGTTTGTCAAGAATAATATGGCAGCAGCTGAGGAGGGAAACCCAGGACCTTTTGTAAGTAAGAAAGCATCATTACTCAGGAAGGTGTGTAGGGGGTGACACTAAATCCATTACTCCACAGGTAGAACAATGGGTCTCCCAGCTTGCACTGCCTGTGATGACCCACACTGTATAATGGTGCTCTGGGCTTTCTTTAATGCTCCAGCCACTCTGACTCTTCTTCTTCCACATATTGGGTGTGCCAGGAGTATATACTGTTCTGCTGTTTTGTAGAGGAGACATTTGGCAGATGAGAAGTTATCTGCTCCTCATGATAAAGACTGGGCCTTCTATTTTCTGTATGTAGCAAAGCATGTTGTTTGTGTCTGGTAGGAAATTCTAATAGCTTTAGTCTGTCTTTCTGTCCATAACACTTTATGAGCACTCTGAT